CTACTTAAATCCTCACTAGATTTAAAAAGTAGTAGTATAAGTTATATTATAAATAAGATAATAAGTAGTATAGCGTAATAAGAAAAGTTAATTAATTATAGAATAGCCTAGAACACTAGAGAAGCCCTCTAGACCTCTTAGTAAAAGTAACTAGAAATAATAAATATCTAACTTTATACTCCTATAGAAAACCTATTATATACTTACTAAACTTTAACTAATATTATTACTATTTATTACTATTACTATTACTATTACTATTACTATTACTATTACTATTACTACTATTATTATTGTTATTATTATTACTACTATTACTATCTTTCTCACTACCCTCACTATTACTCTTACTCTCTAAGCTCTTATTAGTAGTACTACTATTACTACTTTAACCCCTACTTCTAGGGGTACTATTAAAGTTACTATTACTATTTTTAGAAGATATATCTATATCCTTATTATTAACTTAGTATTAATAAGCTATCGCTAAATCCTTACTAACTTACTTATAAGCGTTAGGCTAAAGTATAGGATTATTACTAATAACCTTATAGATAAATATAAGAGCATAGTAATAGGTATCGTAAAATATATAATAACCTTAAACCTTTAAGGGATCTTATATAAGAAGCTTAGATATATAATTATTACTTTTTAAAAGATATATCATTAGGACTTTACTGAGGTGGTTAAAGAACTTAGCCTAGTTAAAGACGTAAGTCTTATTATATAAGTAGGCTAGAAGAATATTATTAATCTATAGTATAATCTCCTTAACTAATACCTTATCTTTAGTTTAGTAAGCTACTTATAAATAATATATTAGATAAGTAAAAAGAAAAAACTAACTATAAAGTAAAACTTATATTAAGTATAATTTATAAATATACCTAAGTATATAAAGTAATAGTCTCCTCTATATTTATAGTAAGTAGCTAGTTATTATAGTTCTTAGAACTAAGCTTAAAGCTAATAAGGTTTACTAACTACTTATAGAGATATTAGAGAAGCTTAATACTCTACTTTATAGCTATAAAGATATAAAAGATCTCATATTAGTAGTACTACTTAGTAGTAATAGTATAAGTATAATACTTAATTTAGTTCTAATAGAAATAAATAGTATTAATAAGATAAACTAAGATCTAGAAGAGAGAAGAGTTAGCTTATACCTTCCCTAAATAATTACTAAACTTACCTTATAGTATTTAATACTATAAAGATAGTATAATTTATATATATAGTTACTATCCTTTTAGTAAGTATAAATAACCTAGGTATTCTTAAGGAGCTATAGTATATAACTAATATAAAGCTTATTACTACCTACTTAGTTATACTAATAGTTATTATTACTAAGCTCTTTTTTATTAAGGCTATATTTTTTGAGGAGTTAGTAAATTAGACTTTTAGTACTTATAATATTAGTTATAAAAGTATTATAGGATAAGGGAAGGTTTAGTAGATATATTATAAAGGCTTAAGGAAGGACTTATAAAAATATAAAAGTTATTATAGATAGATATAATATACTAAAGAAGAAAAGAAACTAACCCTAAAAGTAAAAAAAAGCTATTACTTTATAGATAGCTAAGAAGCCTTATTAAATAATTATAGAGGTAGCTATAACTTTAGATAATAAAGGATAGTAGTTATTTATTATAGTAGGTATTATATATAAGGAGGTAGGAGTAATAAATTAATAGTAATAAATGCTATCTAACCTATTTAATAGCTTTATAATAAGCCTATTAAGAAGGGGGATAATAGGATAAAAAATAAAGTTATTATAAGGGTATTATATAGGAAAAAACTTACTAAATAAAGGGTGAGATACTTAGGATAAAACCTATAACTTAAGGATAGCTACCTTTCTTTAAAGAAATAATAAGATCCTTTTAAAGTATTTTTAAATAGGGAGTATAAAAGGGACTTAAAAGAAGAAAAGCTTTAATAGATAGAACTATAGTTTAGTTACTATAGTTATAGCCCTAAAAGCTTTATTATTTTCTAGTAAATATATAGTGAGTAAGTATCCTACTAAATAATAAAGATAATAGTATTAAGTCTAATAAATATTACCTAGATAAGAGGAAGGACTCTAATAGGAGGCTAGCTATAATACTTAAATATATAGTAGGGACTACTATATTTAAAAGGGGGATAATTATAAAGGACTAAATACCTAGCTAGAGGGCCTAAGGATAGCTTAGCTAGTAGAGGCTAAATAAATAAGAAGGTCTATAGGTCTAAAGTATAGAACCCTCTATAGCGAGGACTTAGTAAGTACTTACTAAAAACTAAAAAAAAAGGAACTTAGAAGAAGTAAGTAAAAGTAGTATAGTAATACTATACCTACCTTTTAGGTACTTCTTCTATTAGTTTAACCTAACTATAGCCTATAGCCCCTAAATACCTTTATAAATAATTTCTTCTTTCTTTCTTTAGAACTATTACTATAATAACTATTATAACTATTACTACTATTATAATAACTTACTTATACTTTATTTATTTATTTATATTATATATATAAATAATTACTTAAAATGGACCTTTTTACCTCTTTTACTACTATTTCTTCTAGAGATAACTCTCCTGCTGAGGATACTTAAGCTTCCTACTCTACTATATCTAATACCCCTACTCTTCCTACTATTAATATTAGTACTAAATATAAGGATTCTAAATATAATAAAGAATCCTATACTTTAGGCCTTAGTAATAATAGTAGGACTTATATATTTCAAAATAATCTTTTTACTTGCACTTTTTTACCTATTAATTATTCTTATGAGAGAAAAATGCTAGTTATTTATACTACGTAAGTTAATTATATATATATATATATATATATATATTTCTTAGTTACTAATACTATATAGGTGTGGAAAAGAATAGAAACCTAAAATTAAGAATTTTCAAAGCTCTAATTTCGTTAAACACTATTAAAAACACCACCCTACTATTACTTATAATAAAAAATCAGAAAAAACCCTTCAAAAAAGTAAAGTATTTTATTATATTATTTTTTATATTATATACTAATATAATATAGAATCTTTAACAACAAATACTATACAACAAGCTTTTATAGCTTCAGAAACTAGAAAACGACAACGTTCTAGTACTATAACTGATTTTATAGAAGAAGAAGCATATTTAAAAGTGCTAAATTTCCTAATAGAGAATAATCTCTCTTTTAGAGTTATTAATTCTCCTTCTTTTCAAGAACTACTATCTTATTATAATAAGTAAGTTATTATATATATATATATATATATATATATATATATAATATACTAATTATTATATAGATTGCATATTATAGTAAATCGACAAAAAATCTAAAACCTTCTTTCTAATACTTATAGTAGATTTATATTTACTATAAATTCAGAAATTAAAGCTAATATTAATACCTTAGGAAGATTTTCTCTTACCTTTGATATATAGACTTCTAAGCCTCAAGATGCCTACTTAGGCTGCATATTAAGCTATATAAATGCTGATTTTGAGTTAATTTTTAAGCTTATTAGTAAGTATATTATTATTATTATTATTATTTAATTAATTTATTAATATTTTAATAGGCTTTAAAGAACTACTAGACCCTCATACTGGGGTCTATATATATAAAGAGTTTAGAGATTCTATTATAGAGTTTCCAGACCTACAATTATCAACAATTCAAAGGTAAGTATATATATATATAATATTATTATTAATATATACTAATAATTTATTATAGTATTACTAGAGATAATGCTAGTAATAATAATACTTTTATTGAACAATTTTCTAGTAACTATTTATTAGCTGCTGGAGAAGAGTTTAGTAGAGATATTCGTTATATAGCACATATAATTAATATTATAGTAAACAATATACTATCTCAGTTTACTTTAACAACTAAAGAGGAGGAAAAGCTATTTAATTATACTAATAGTACTAAAAGTATTATTAGTAACTTAGTTATAGATAAAGAGGTTAAAGAAGAGCCTATAGAAGAGCCTACTTATCTTTTAAGTGGTAAGTATATTTTAATTATTATTTTATTTTATTTTATTTTATTTAATATATATTAATACTTATATTATATAGGGCTTTTAACGCGGATTCGAAAAATCTGCGTTATAGTTAAATATACTGGAGAAATAAAGAGGTTAATTTCAGACAGTATTGATTACTGTAAAAGAAATAACTATATACCCTCTAACTTTAATAAAAGAGTTATTCCCTTAAGTAAGTATATCTATCTAACTATAATAGTATTATAACTAATATATTATATAGATAATACTAATATTTAATAGGCTTAATATATATATATAGAATACATAAAAAGCTTTCTACTCTATACTCTAAGTTTAGTAACTTTAGAGTAGTTATTCCATAATTAGTAAGTATTAAATTTATAATTAAATATTATATTATATATTAATACTAATATAAAAAAGGCTGCTTACTATAAAATACTTACTAAAAGTATAGAAAAAAGCCTTAAAAAATTCTACATTTATTAGCCTAAAAGCCTTAACTATCTTAAACTTCCTAAGTTTAAAAACCATATATTAAGCCATATATTAGATCCTAGATTTAAATTACACCACTTTAATCGCAACGAAATTCTACACTACTACGATACTATAATAGAAGATATTAAAGAAATACTTAAAAACAAGTATAATAAGTAAGTTTTTATTTAATAAATAATATAATTACTTTATACTAATATATATATAGAGTTAAAAAGGAATATAATACCTATTTTCCTTTAGAAAATTAAGAAAATAATAATTCACCTACTAAAGTTAACTTAGAGGATAAGTTATATATTAATAAGGCTACTTCTTAAGAAGAGTAGATTACCTATTTAAACGAAGAACCAGTTATTAAATTCATAAGTTTTATTTTTAAAAAATATTATATTATATTATATTATACTAATATATTATATATAGGATAATACTTTATCTTATTAGAAGTATTATAAAACTAATTTTCCTATTTTATCTATATTAGCTAGAAGGTATCTAGCTATTCTTAGTACTTCTACTCTAGTAGAGAGGGTTTTCTCAGTTATAAGTAATATTATTAGTAAAAACCAGAATAGGCTTCAGCCTATTATAGTTAAATAGATAATATTATTAAAATACTGGGGTATTAACTTTCTAACTAAGTTAGAAAGTATATATCTTAGTAAGGAAAAAGTAGAAGAAGAAGAAGAAGAGTAGTTATTTTTATAGGATTCTTTAGTATATTTTTAGTATAATTTTTACTATTATTTTTAGTATTTATTTTAATATTTTTCTATTATTTTTCTATTATTACTATTATTTTTACTATTATAATTTAACCTAAAGTAAAAGCTAACTTTTAAGTACCCCTGAATGATTTTATTAATTAACGTAGTTAATAGGGTAATTAACGTTAATAACCTAAGTTAAAAGCTAACTTTTAAGTGCCCCTGAATGATTTTATTAATTAACGCAGTTAATAGGGTAGTTAACGTTAATAACCTAAGTTAAAAGCTAACTTTTAAGTACCCCCGAATGATTTTATTAATTAACGCAGTTAATAGAGTAGTTAACATTAATAACCTAAGTTAAAAGCTAACTTTTAAGTACCCCCGAATGATTTTATTAATTAACGCAGTTAATAGGGTAGTTAACATTAATAACCTAAGTTAAAAGCTAACTTTTAAGTACCCCCAAATAATTTTATTAATTAACGCAGTTAATAGAGTAGTTAACATTAATAACCTAAGTTAAAAGCTAACTTTTAAGTACCCCCGAATGATTTTATTAATTAACGCAGTTAATAGAGTAGTTAACATTAATAACCTAAGTTAATAGCTAAGTATTACTAACTATTTATACATAATATACTATATAATAATATTATTATAAAATTTCTTTAAACCTTAGTAAATATATATATATATATAATAATATTATATTATACTTCTATATATATAAGTTACTTAAAGTTTTAAAGAAATTTCTTATTATTTTTACTTATCTTTATTTATTTTTATTTTTTAATTTAGTATTTTGCCTATACTAAACTATACTAAACTAAACTAATAATTACTAAAAAAATTCTATACTAAACTAATACTAACTAAGCTGACCCTATACTAAACTAATACTAACTAACTGACCCCCATACTAAACTAAACTAAACTAATTTGCCACCCTGCTTGGATTCAACCTCGCAAGGGTTCTCTGGAAATCATGTTATCTCGACCTCGTTCATTCGTTCAGCTTGGCGACAGGCATCATGCTTGGCCGGATCTTGCGCCAATCACAAATGAAGGAAATGCAGGTCAGAGTGGGACGTCGGACATAGTTTGCCTATTCTGTATGATTCCGGGCCGGGATCCGTGGTGATTGGCGGTGCATCATGCACTGAGGCGGCGTTCGATTGTCAGTTGGTGCACGGATTCTTCCACCGGCGGCGCGGACCGCGCCCGGCCCCACCCAACGCACGGCGCCGAAAACTGGCGGGCCTGATATCGCCGCACACCAGGGAAAGTCGATTGTGCTAGCAGACCCTCTGCTGATTGGCTGCGGAACTGAAATGTGGGGTTCTGGTTCGGAAATTTCAGCACCAGATGCTTATGTCAGCCGCCCCATGGAAGCAGGAACGAATGTGACGATTTTCGGTGGGGAAACCGTCACATTTGATTTCTCTCGGCGCAGACGCACCCGCCCTCCTAGTCGTAATTTCAACACCTTCAGGACCTATAAAGCAGGCAGCTTCCATCACCAATTCTTGCAGTGACTGCAGTCGACCACTGAGTCTAATGGATGGACATGTTAAATCAATGCACTTTCCCTTTCTATCGCTGACACTTTGATTTCTCCTGCCTGAGGTCTCACACCTGACCTGCCGATTGAGTCCCAGCAGCAACAGCGCATGGAAACACCATCCATCTGCACCCGCCTCACTTGATGACTGCAGTCAAAACGCCCGTCCGGTCGTTTCAATTTTGCTTGTAGTGTGCCCGACGGAAGGCAAGGACTTCCTCGTCGCCTTTCCGGGTGCCATGTCATTATTGTCTCCTCCATCCACGTCCACCCCAGAAGTGCCCGTCTCTCCAAACCTCTCCTCTGAAAACCTTTGATTTTCAACGCCCATTGACAAGAACACCGCAGCACTTCAATTCTTTCTGGAGTCGGCCCTCTTAGTCGGTCTCGCGAGCATTTCTGGGTCCAACACTTCCGATAGCCCGCCCAAGAACCCCGCTCCTCCCAAGTTCGAGTTCGTATCGTTCCCGGCAGGACAAATTCATCCAGGACTCCAATACGTGTAGGCTCATCACCTCATGTACCTCTACCACGGGTGTCCTCGCGGACGAAGCGCAGTGGCATTTCAGTCGCCCAAATCAGAGATTGTCAGTCGAGACTGGTGAGCCCGCTTTCTATGGGAAGACCTCTGCCATTACTCACCGGCCAAAGTACTTCACCTACTGGATGACACTACTCTGGAGAGTTCTCATAAGCGCTGCGCCCCAAGACCAACCTCGACGACACTCCGAGCCACCCGAAGTCGATCCTCAAACAGCCTCCCAAGCCCAATTTGCTGGCCGCTGGTACACCCAGCCAGAAGTCGAGCCTCAAGCTGTCTTCGTCCAAGGCGAGCATCGACGATAAACTTCTCCTCTGCAAACATCTAATTTCCAATCTTTCAGCAAATCCAATCTTTCAGCAATAAGAACACCGCAGCCTGCCCCGGTCTGGCGTAGGACCGCCCTCTGCTCGACCCCGCCAACATCTCGGGACCCAAAGAAGCCTTCCAAGCCCAATCTGCTGGCCGTCGGTCCACCAAGCCAGAGGCCAAGCTTCAAGCGGCCCCCCTAAAAGGCAAACCTCGACGACACAAACTCCAACGATGCCAAGAAGACATCGGCTGATCTCGGACGTCCCACAACGCAAATCACCCCTCTGGATGTCCCAGTCCCTGAAAAGGCGGTCCAACTGGCTGAGCCTCAGTGCGAGTTATGCCCTCAGCACGCTTACTGCCTATGGAAACATTGAGTGTTGGTTTATGGAGGCGAGGCTTTCAGAGTCTGGTGGTCTGGTGACCGAGGCAGGCAGGCAGGGACCATTCGGTCGAGGGGAAGAAAATGTCACAGGATGCTGTCGCTTCGCCCACGGTGACTTTACGTCCTCCTTCAATTCATGGCAGTCTTGGGAAATGGCAAGTTCAACCAATTGAAGTTGCTTCATGTAGTCGGCTAGCTGTAGCGTCCCAAAACCCTCCGTTTCTCCAGCACCCAAACTTGGAAGACAATGCCTTGACGGATTGTGAATGATGGTGTATGGTCAACAGTTCGCAGACCTAGGTTTCAGTGGAACAATTCAACTGCTAGAACACTCTTTCAACTTGCTGGCAATGAATAAGGTGCAGGTGTCACATGCCAAGGAACAACAACCCCAGGCAGTGTGGATGGTAATCGCGGCTTTCCCTCGAATGTCGGTGGAGTCATCTGAGAATCATCCACCGAGAGTCCCACGCACCAAAAGCGGAATGCCCAAGCTCACGTGGAATCACTAGTTCTAGGTAATTCCAATGGGCGTGTGGATTGCCGAATGCACGTTTCGGTCGGACCGCAGACGTGGGGTTCATTGGCTGAATTCCAAGATTAATAGCAGCACTTGTAACCAAACCTTGATCGACACAACGTCCAGATTCCGGCAATTAAGTTGACCAAGCGGCTGTGATGCTATGCTTGTTTGATCAAAGGCGACTGAAGAAGCATGGTCATCTTCACGACACCGGTAGAAGATTCCGGCGATTCCAACTACTTGGAGAATTGTGCAGCCCATTGGCTGTGTAGCACTGTGCCATGTAGTGGGAATGACTTGGTCGCCACGCCGACGAGAACTCCGATGGAAGTGAGGGCGATGACGGCGGCTGCGAACGATGAAAAAAACACGAAATGGGATGCCAACTTGATCGGGACGTCCGTAGATCTTGTGATGGCAAAGCGATTCGATATTTTGGCCGCTTGCCGGTTCCAGCAGCTCGCCATGATGCCGTCGCCAGTGACGAACAGAAGAGCGGCGGCCAAGTAAGGTGGTCAAGATTAGGTGTGGCGGCTGCTCCAGGGGCCACCTGCCGATTTTAGCGCTGGAATCAGCAGGTGGCCCCTGGGCAAATTGGCAGTTGGTGGCCTAAAAGCTCCCCGCCCCACTGCAGACCGTGCGCCTGGCGGGTCCCGGAGTTTGCTCCGAACGTGAACTTTCAGGACACTGCAACACGCGACCTTCTTCTTTCCAGGTTCAGTACCCGGAGAGCTGATTCCTCTTCGCCAAGGTTCTTACGCAGGGTCACTTGCATTTGAGAAAGTCAAGTCACCGGCACATTCCCTTCCGGGTACCTGCCCTGTGACCTGTGGAGGAGAGTCCGAATTTTCGTCACCACCCCATTTCGCTGTTCCCAGAACCATCCACGCCCCGAGCCCGACTTCGCCCCAACCTCGTCGCTCCCAGCCAACAGACTGTCTAGCGCTAAACGCATCACCTGCCGAGGATACCAGTCAGATGATTTTCTCAGTCAAGGCGTGCGCATTCCTTTGGATGATCGCACCCGACCAGCAGCCATAATGCCTCGAGGCTGGCCCGACTTTCGAAACCATATGGCGGGGAGGGCCGGCCCCATCGAAGCCCTCAGCCTACCTGCCGAAGATCCTGCTCAGCACACGGCTGTCTCTCTTTGACCGCAGGGCCTCCACCTCGAATCTCATCAAATATCCCGCACACTTCTTCGAAGTCCTTGTCCCGACTGTCTGGGAGCCCAACCTTTGCCAACGCACGTGCCATCCTCCACGACACGTACAAGTGGAGGACGTCAAACGATTTCCAAGACCCTGCTGCCCTCTTCGATGTAGCCTTCAAATCTATCCAAACCGCCGAGGACTGTTCCTCCGAAAATCTCAACCATCGGGTTAACGGTTGAGCACGGTCTCTGACACCGTTAATACGCCCAGAAGGTAGGGTCGGTCACCTCTTAAATCTTTAATGCGGGGAGGATGAGAGAAGAACCTTCGGCACCGGTCAACTTGTCACACTTACTGGAGCTGCGGGCTCTGTCAACTTCACCGGGGAAGGCCATACAGGACCCGAGGGACCAGTTGAGGGCGTAGGAAGGAGGAGAAAGAAGTAAAAGTGGGCATTTGAATGGCTGAGAGTCTTACCAGACACGGCTCTCGTTCTATATGATCGAGGCCGGCGCAGGAGGTGCACATCAAGTCGAGACGAGGAGGCATCTCGAGAGCGCCAGAGGCTTGGAACTGGGCAAAGACGGAGGAGTTCGAGATGGAGAGTAGCAAGGCGAAGGAAGAAAGTTTGCCAAGAGCGAAGTCGAGGACTGGAACATGTGGTCGCTGCTCTTGGGGGAGGCTGATGTTGCTGCAAAGGACGATTTGGACGCTATGGACGTGGACGCGTCATGATTTATTCAGCTTATTTGAGTTGAACGCCAACCACGGATTCTCAAGTAGAGTCAGGCAACTTCAGTCAGAGAACAAGTCGCAGTGCGCATTCGACGTATCCCTTTGCCCGTTGTCTCAATCGTGTATTTAAGCAAAAGCGTCGACATACTCCAACGCTGTTTGTACCACGCAGCTGAGATATTTCAACGCAATCAAGTTGCGTGCATAGATCACGATAATTCGGTGATGGAATGAACAGCCTTTGGGGGACTCCATGAATGGGGTTGCAAGCGACAAGAAGCCGAACCAACGGCTGGCACAATTTGGTACACCACGAGGAGCTTGGACAAACGTTGTATTCTCTGGTGCAGGCTGGCGGCAATTAACCCTTTCAGGAGAACTGAGTAGGAAGTGACCATATTTCATCATCCCACGCAGCACGTACACGGCACAATATGTCCGTCTTCTCCTGCTTTCCCTTAGGCCGCAAAGACAGCTTCACTGCAAAGGAGAAGCAAGTTCATGTAGATCAAATTGGTGTTGGTGTCTCGGGGGTCCATTTGAAACAAATTCGAGAATCGCCTCATGCTGTACGTCATGACTATTCGCGAAAAGCGAAAGCCGAAGCCATCTAATCTCTATTCCTTGTTCCAATCAGCTAGCTGATCAACAAGAGCATATGTTCGTATCGCGAAAGCTCAAGTTCGGAATTGACACTCATACTTCCTCTCGAGCTACCCGCCATCGCCCAGGAGGTTTTGTTCTTTGTCCAACCGGCTCCCAGGCTGCGGGATTATCTGAAATTGAAGCTAACTCTCTGTCTACCCCAGCCCTGTCTATATTTGGCTCGACCTTTCCACTCGTCTAGTTGCGCATGCTGCTCTTTTTATTATGCCTGCGCTCGAATCAGGAGCCGATGCTGATAAAATTCCGATTCGTTTTGCCGGGTTTACTTACGTCTGAAAAGCCGCCATTTGCTCGGTCGGTCTCCCTCGTAATCTCAGCTAGGCCTTTGAGATTTCGTTCAGTGATATTGTTCCCCTCGCGCTGAACGTCTCTCGGGGCGATAGTTATTCGGTCTCAATGCACGAGCCATGGTCTCTACCCTGATAAGCTGGGGTCTCCTCCTATGTATATCGCCTTTTAGCTACATTACTCGGTCCAGATGCCTGAGCTCCGGCCGATGGGCCGATGTTAGAAACGGCGTCATGCCAGGGGCCCATTAGGCATGCCGGTTGACAGATGCAGACCGCGTCGTATTTCGGAAAGGAAACGAGACAGGGATTGTATGGTTACGCTGGTAAGTCGGTGGGACCATGCTGAACAAGTCAAGCAGATTTCAGTCCGCCCAGTCGAACGACAGAAAGTACCGAGACGCAAATCTCTTCCATCGTATGCTGCTTCAAGTCCGTATATTGTGGCACCGGACCTGACTTCGGCGGGTGGGTGTAAGCAACAGCTGGAAAACGCTGGCACGAAGATAATGTCATGTGGTTGGAAAAGAACTCACTCGATGTGGACTTTAGTTAGCACCGGATGTCTGAATACTTGCGACTTCAACGACGACTGCATTCCAGGATGAGACAGTTCCAAATGAATCAAGCCTGAGACTCCCCCTCTAAATGTCTACTCCAACAAGTCTGGGCTCTGTGGGACGAAGAAGGACCTGTGTGGTGATAAAACTGCAGAGGTCAGTTCATTTGATGTCCGCCAATGGCCTCTTGATAGGCATCCCGCGCCAATGCTTGAACAACTTACTGATAGCTGTTGATTTGTCTTGCAGTGGCCATCATGTAACATCGGCGATACTCCCATTGCTCCTACGAGGCTTGGTCGACAAAAAGCCGGCCCTATTACGGGTTGCTGCCTGAGGAAGACCCATTCCGACATCATCTCTTCCGTCGCCACAATCAACCCAAACACCTTTAAGACATAGGCCGGTGACTCAAACACAGCCCAGCTCGTGTACCGGATTGACGATATTCACGTTAATTGGCAAGTTGAAATTTACGAGCCGTCTCAGTCCCACTCCAATACCGCTTCTATTACCTACAACACTTTGATATAAAGAACTTCAGAAATCACATCAACTGGTTCGACATCATAAGCTACAACATTCACAGGTCCTAGGATGTCAAGAACAAGCAGACCAGCCCCTACGCCAACTCCTACACCAGCATAATGCAGCTCTAAGGCGCTGCTTTAACGCAATAGCATTCAGCCCGAAAAGGTCAACTCTAGACTATCCATCTGCAGCCAAAGTTCCACGCTCCAAACTCCAAGCGTCAGGTCTCCCAGCGGCGTCATAAAGTCCAGGGGAAATGCAAGCGAGTGCTCAGGCACGAATATTATGCTGTTACACCACGACATTGTGGGCATCATTAGCAAGTACAAACTTACATCCAAATCAAGCCATCCTAGGCCTCAAAGATTTCCCCATGAGAGTCATACGCCAGTAAAAAAGGTGCGCCTCCAGGCAGCAAACTGCAAAGAAGAAAAGTTAGAAGGGAAGAAAGACAAACTAGCATCCACACTTCATCGCAATGCCGTTATCAATTCCATAACATAGGGCGACCAGGAGACAACTTTCAACAACTTACCGACGTAGAGGCTCAAGGCGAACATCATCCGCAGCTAGTGCATCCAAGGAGTCATAATCTAAGCCATTACCCAGGTCAACAAGGACACAACCAACATCAAGTCCCTCACATCCACAGTTAGTCACAAACAATAGACCTGCCAATATTTATTCCCGCCCCACCCTCAACGCAACCAACGCCCAAGTTCTCTAAGCTATGCCAGTGGTCAGGCTGTTACCAAAACTTTCCGGTTAGCTTCAAGACGGTGCAGTATGAAGGCCAAAAGAGATCATGCTCAACAATCAGGATTGCCCCGCTAGCGATATGCATATGTTGTGCTGCTCTCAGCCGACCAGCCAATACCCACCCGTTATGAGTGCTCACGAAACCAGCGGCGTATACAAGCCTAAGTGCATTAATAGCGAGTTCAAAGTCGGCTCGTTGCGTGTTGGCTGCAATTTCTCGGCGTGCTGCACCAACGAAGCATCCGAATCCACCAACGGGCCGTATAAAGGGGTCTAGTAGGCACCGATTTGCGATAAGAATTGTTCCAGCGACTACCCAGACATGATATTTTCGTGAAAGCTGGTCGCTAGAGGCGAGCAGCCGTGCATATCTGGGTCGAATCACGATTGCTGACAGGACCCAAAGCCGGCGGCGTTTTCCAAGTGCGATTGACACATGAAAGGGAGTTCGCCCATTTTCGAACAGGACTTGATCCACGAGGACAGCTGTCTCAGCGACTCAACCATTCTGGCCACCGAGATTAGCGGTGTAAAAGCCGAGTACGATTGCTTTGGCGGTGCCAGGGCGTACTGTTGCGAGCCTCCCAAGTCCGCGTTCCCCTCAGTGACGATGATCCCTTTGTACCAAACCAGAACAAGAAGTTCCATTGCTCTTCGAGAATTACACAGAGAACCGACGTGCCCGCCACGATTTCGCGCCCAAAACTGAGCGACACGTTCACCTACATGAAACAATCTCTTGAGCTCGAGGCCTCCCACCCCCGGTCTTTGTAAGGGAGGGCTATGAACTGCGAAATGAATCGTTATGTGAGGATGAGTGAGTTGAGAGTCATTCTGCTCGCCAAGTCATCACACTTAATTGGGTCGTTTCCAGCTGCTTTTGATGAAATCTTTGCCGGAGTCTTGGATGAGTATATCACGATGGAAGAACTTGGGCGCACAAAACACACAATCCTGACCTCGAACTCAACGATTTCATGCGATACGCTTTCCTCAACCCACTGGCTGTCGGCCCGGGAATTTGACGTGTCGCGCAGGTGTCTGAGCTGTTTGCCTGGCTACCAACTATGAGAAGCCGCAATGGAGAGACGTTATCGGAGACCTCCCGCCATGTAAGTGAAGATTATTTGGTTGACTTTCCCTATGACTTTGTTTGCACTTGTCTAGCTGTATGTGTCATCATTTATCCTTCCGCCGTGGCTACATGTAAACGAAGTCTGGGTGTTGGTTGCGCAACGAAGAGCACGGCACCCTAACATCTCATCCATCGTGGGAGGCATGTGAATGGCGGCCTGAGCCTGGACTATGAGCGCTGGCAGAACCTCGCGCAGCCAAATGGCTCATGCTCGAGCTGGCATATTCGAAAGAACGACTTCCCGGGGTGACCGGCGGCAATGACACTTACATAGATTCCTATATGGCGAATTGCGGCCCTTAAGACCGCTGAGTCGTGTTCCACATGCACAATGACGAGTGGCTGAGGACTATTAATGGGCGCATCCACATCGGCATACGATCGGTTCAGGTCTTCCACGGCTACCGCAGAAATTCACGGTCCGGGGCGACACGGCATGGCGAGTAGAGAATGCGTGCAGTGACCGTAACAGCGAAGATAGTGTCACCTCTAAAGAAGACAAGGCCATGTGGCATCCCGGAGCCGAGGATGAGCTCCTTATTAGCACTGTGATTGAATCAGACGATGACTTCTACTGGCGAGCCAAACAATGGGGTGAGCGAATATTCAATAATGACTACATGACCTTGCGCGCACTGCAGCTTCTATTCAGTGTAAGCACCGATCTGAACTTGTCCGTTTACTATACTTGCGGCCGCGACCTTCCGCTCTTTCCGTGACTTTCGCTGACGCTGAGCTTCCAGAAGGCTTCCAAACACTTCCCAGCGGAGAAATCGACCCCGCTTTCCCGGGGAGAGTCCAGGTGATAGAAGTACCACATCTAGCATGGGGCCAGGAAATGTACGTCGTTGACTGAGATCAACAATTTGTGGTTTGGTGGCAGATGTTGGGTAACATTGCTACTTCAAGGCTTCTTCGGAGCAGCTATTGCTCTCATTCGGTGAACTCTCCGATGTACCTCAATGGTCTCAACTATATGCGGGAGTCTAGGCTTGAAGGTAGATTCGCTTTCGGTATGCTATGTGGCTTCTTTCACCAGGGTTTCGGTGTCACATTACTTTGACTCACTGACTAGCTGCCTCTATCATATGCGGTTGAGTCCAGATGCGCCCTGATTATCTCAAAGATATCCACCGCATTGCTTCGCATTGCCCACATTAGTGGTGTGGTATCGGTGCTCATACCCTCCAGGTCCTGCCTAGGTATGGCAAGATCCTCGACGAACTTCTGCATGCGGAATCCCCACATATCCTGTAGCCTGTTGGGGTCAAGCGATGGACTCTGGATAATTCTCGATTCGGCATCGACGGGCGCGCCGCGAGAGATGAGCTCTTGGACAAATGGCGCCGCGGCTTTCCTCACTTCTTGGTCCTGGGCTGAGAAAGGGGTGGGCCACGTTGCTAAAGCGTGGAGCGGGGTCCATCCTTCGGCCGTCACGACGTGGGCATTAGCACCCCGCTGAAGTAGGGTGTTTGCGAGGCGGTACGAACTCTTAACCCTCTTCGCATTCGTCGGGGATAGAGCGCACAGCAATGGCGTCCAGCCGTTGCTGGTGGCTGCATTGACGTCCAGACCACGAGTAAGCAGAAAGTCGACTACATCTTCTCGTCCTCCGGCAGCGGCGTAATGCAGAAGTGATTCGCCGTGCAAGGTTACCGACCGAATGGCGGTGTCTGGGTCGTCAGAGTACGAGACAAACAGATTTAACTGCTCAGTGGTTCCATTTTGTGCGACGCGGTGAAAAAGTGTCTCACCAGCTTCGCCAGTTGTGTCGATCGATGCGCCGTGCTGCAAAAGGATCCGTACCGCGTCAGTCGGTATGGGGTTTCTGCTCACTAGACACTGGAGGGCGCTCCGGCCACGTGCGTCTTGAGCATTAGCATTTCCTCCCTTCTCCAAAAGCCCTCTTACGGCGCCAATGCAGCCGACTGATAGTGAGGCCGTGTGGATTAGAGGCAGGTTGGATAGACGACCGTTTGCTGCGTGCGGGTTTGCTCCAGCATCGACGAGTCGATGAACTACGCGCTGTTGGTATACGTAGTCCTCGGCTCCAGGAGGTGGCTTCACGGGATCCTCAGGTAGGATGAACTTTCGTCTAACTGCCTCTTCAAGAGCACCTTGGATGATCTCTGGTGCATAGTCAACCTTGGCTAACAGCAAGGCCACAACATCATCACACCATGACGACGCAGCGCCAAACACCGCCCGTCGCTTCTCGTCGTCAGTCCAGCCGTTCCATACATCCAGGAAGTAGGCAACCAATTCCACGCGGCCATTTCGAGCAGCCACCTCAAGACAGCAGAGATGGGGGGTTTTGCTGGGGTAGAAGCGTCCGCCGGGACCGACCAGTGGCCAAAACAGACTGGCGATCTCGAGCCTGCCATACTGCGAAGCAGCCAAAAGCGGCGTAAAACCGGGATCATGCGTCTGTTGCACTTTTGGGTCCCCGCCAGCATCAAGTATCATCCGAACTGCAGTCTCGTCATTTCGGAATATGGCTTCGTGGAGAGCCTCACCGATGTGGTGTCTTGGGTCGATTGCGGGACTCCAGTGTTGTAAAACCTGCGCCAAGTAAACCCTGTCTCCGCTCCTGAGATAAGGTTCCACCACGTCGAAAAAGCGCGGCATTTGAGGTGTTGATACATTCATTGTGTTGCAGTAATAGGGGAGAGGAAATTTGTGGGATGGTGTTGGACTGGTGATTTCTGTTTAAGGTTGCGCAAGTCATAACCGACGTCAATAATCCACAGGTCATAACGGCGACGGTCATTACACACGGCTCCGCGTCATGGCACATGCCGGTGCATCGGTCTGGCACAGCACAAAATTCACCTCGCCTTTTATGCACTGACGGTTGGAATTATTATGTCCAGTGACATTTCTGACCCATAGTACATGTACGGCGACCGGTGGTAGTCGTAGTGGTGGTGGTGGTGCGAGGTTGTAGCTCAGCTTGGAGCAGGCCTGGCTACCACTTCAGGGCGGAGGGCCAGCACGTGATGAAGTAGCACGGGTCAAACTCCCGCTAGGCCGGCGACTCATTATATAAGCACCCGAGCCACAGCGCCACACCTGAGTGGGGTTCTGGTAGTGAGATTTCCAGACCAAAACCCCACATTTCAATTGAGCGGCCAATCACAGAAGCGCAGCTGGCTCGCAGCGTGATGTCTCCCCGCCAACGCACTCGGCGGCAGAATCCTGAGCTCGACTACGAATCGACATAATCACCAACGCGTCTTTCGAAATGCCCTCCAACACCATCACCATCGCACCCATCCAGATGTTCAGCCTTCACATCGTGCATCACCAGCACATATATCGGCGGACTTGAAGCACCAGTCATCCGCGACTTGCGATGCTCTGCTCATCCTCGAACCCGGGACGTCCTATCGACATCGCGGCCTGGCTTTCGCAGATCCCCGACGACATCTGCCCGGAACGCATTCACCAGGCTGATCTCGACAGCACCAACGCGAAATCACTGAACAAGCGAAAACGGCGACCGCTCCTTGTCTCCCCGCCGCCCTCCGATCCGACCCGTTCCTTCTCCTCCGACGGCGACGAGGCCCTGCGCGGCAACATGTCCGACACGCCCTCTGGGAAACGTCAAAAGCGGCATCACCAAGACGTGCCCAGCAGTCCGACCAACCAACCCCTATCACAGGATCCCGATGCCACACCCACGCAGGGCAGGCAGGTCACCGGCATCCACAAAGCCTCTCTCGGCACCCACACCCCTACTGCGAGCGACCAGGAGTCCGGTGTTTCCAATGTTTCCGGCCAATCATCCCCGACCAAGAGGCTTGCAGCCGTGAGCCTCGGCGATGCGCCGCTCGAAACAAAAGAGTTCGCCAAAGGTCTCCAGACACCTCCTGCCGGCCCGGCCTTAGACATGTTCGACAAGATGGAAGACTTGAATAACAACGAGGGGTTACTCCCAGAGGCAATGCGTCCTGTCTTCCTGGAGTACGCGAAAATTGGCAAAGTTCCTCGCATAGGCAATGCCGCCTTTGACAATTCTGGCCAGAGAGACAATCTGGGTTCTACGCCGTCCATCGATCACGTCCTTGACCTTCTCCAGGAGGCAATGCGGTGCCAGGAGCTGGTGCACACAGAACACGGCTGGAACTGCAGCGTCCACTTCCCCCTGCTTAAGCTGGCACTCCATGGCGCTGACGGCCGCAAGAGGCAGCTTGTCGACTTCGACTCTTGGTTGGTTTCTCACCAACGCTTGTTTAGCACTTGCTGACATCGCCTTCACAGTACGCATGCAAAGCCCCTTCTCGCCTACCGATCCCGGTCGGGGTATTCGCCAACACACATGGTCGATTTCTGCATCAACCTCTGCCCCCGACAGGCCGGACCCGATTATGCTCACGTCGTTAACGCGATTGACGTATTGCGAACCGAACTTATGGACAAATCCATCAATCACACCGGCCACAACCCCCTCCTACGAGATCCCATTTCCGTCAGTATCGAGACTAAGCGTCCGGATGAGGGCGGTCAGAAACAGGCACTGCAGATCGGTGTGTGGCAGACCGCACAATGGCGGCATCTGGAGAAGCTCGTTCAGATGCGTCTTGATGCTGATGGCGAGCCACCCCAGACTCGCCAAGAACGCTGTGACGAGGTCCTCGGCCAGCTTGACTATCTTCCCGCCATACTTGTGCGAGGTCACGACTGGTACTTCGCGGCGACAAGGAAGGAGGGCCGGAAAACGGTTCGTCCCCTCGCGCTTGACGTCCCCTAGTCTTCGCGGTCCATACTAATAGGTACCAGGTTCTTTGGCGAGAAGTCCCCATGGGAACGACTAGAAACGTCCTTGGCATCTATCGAATCATCTACGCCATCCAGCTTCTTGCGGAGCACTCGAGGGATTATTTCTGGCCGTGGTACCTTCGCGCGATCTTGAGTATTTCGACGGACAGTGATGCCGACATGACTGGCGCTACACACACCGCCGCCGATGCCAACGAAAGCACCAACGCCGACGGTTGAGATGTGGTCATCTTCTGCCTGCCGGTATCGTCTGATCTTCCTGAGAAATCATGGACGAGGTCTCCAAAGAGCACTATTTGACACAGAGCGACAGGGCATAAGCCGAAAAGCGACCTGTCGTGATGAGACTTTCTTCGCACAAAGCTTTCCCATCGCAGGAACCTTGAATGCCCATCCGAACCCGTTACCTCTCACAACCATGGTGCACCGGCCGACGCCATGCTATTGAGAGTGCGAGTCGAGGCCAACCATGGCTGAGCCTTCTGCCGTCCACCACCGCCGACGCCGTCCTGGTCTAGCGGGATCTGCAACAGGGGTCAACCTCGGCGACAATTAATGATTGAGGCCGTCTTGGCCGTGCTAGTGGCTATCATGTAGAAAGGCGCCGACGGCGAGGGCTGCGGTCGTCTTGGGCGGCCAGGTCGCCGGGTTCGCCGCCGCGATGAAGGACGTATGGGTTTCGTCGAACAAGAGATACGAGGAGGAGACGCAGTCCGCAAGCAACCAGCAAACACGCGAGGATGCGGCTCTCTCACTGCCGATTCAGCGACACTCGCACCTTTCGTAGCCGGAGCTCTGCTCCTCGCACCCTCGCGTTGTTAATCCTGATTGTCGCGGTGCTAAGATTACGTAGGGGACTCAACTCCCGAATACTACTTTTAGACAAGCAGAAACCAGTACCGGGTCTTGTCTTGCTAGAAATATAGTACTAGAGACG